CATGTATAAGGATATTTATTTTAACTTTTTATAATGGCAAAATTGCCTTTTTATAATGAAATCACCCAAATAAATAAATTATGATATATCGATGTAGTAGAATGCTAAGTAATTCATAAGAAAATGATGTATACATTTAAAATTTTTACCTGAAAAAATATGTGGTAGTTGAAAAGTGAAAAGGCAGAACGAAGATGTTTAAATATATACACACACACGCAAAAAAAAAAAAAAGAAATCTGGAAGTTTATTTTTTTTTTTTTTTTTTTATAAATTAATTTTTATTGGTGTTCAATTTACCAACATACAGAATAACACCCAGTGGAAATCTGGAAGTTTAATCATCAAAATGTTCATGGTGGTTATCTCTGGATGATGATGACATTACAGGTGATTTTCCTTTGTGAAAATTTGGTGTTTTGTTTAAGTATTTAAAAATATTTTTGCTGTTCTTGTAGCTGAAGAAGCCTTTAAATGTTTTCATTTTGCAATTTAAGAATATAAAGTTAAAGAGCTACTTACTTACTCTTTTTGATTTAGTTATACTGAAGTAAGTAACATGTATATTCATGTAATCAGCGAATATTTTATTGAAGCCATACTGTGTATCAGGCACTATTTTAGATGGAAATACACACAGTTCATAAGACAGTTCATAACTCAAGAATACCTCTTTTTATGGAACATCTTGAGTGGGAATATCTATAAAAGATAAATTAGATAAATGAACAAGTTAGTGATTAAATGCAGAAAGAAAGTAAAACTGAGTGATAATGAAAATAATGATGGAAAAGTATGTGTGCATGCATGAATGACTTTAAATTGAGTGGTCAGAGTCCTCTGAGTTGCTTATCTTTGGGCAGATAATTACAAGGCAGAAGGAGCTGGGCATGTGAAGATCCAGGTCCAAGTTCTCAAGCAGAGCAGTGCACAGTCACCTAGGCTGAAAGGAGTTTGTTGTATTCAGGGAACAGAAAGTGAAAGACATGGCAAATAAAACTCAATGACATAGGAGAAGTGAGAGGGGCCAGCTCACATAAAGCCTTGTAGGTCCTAAGGATTTTGTAGTGATATTTTATTGTATGTGTTATGGAAGCCCATTGCAGGATTTTAAGTAGGGAAGTGACCTAATCTGATATATGCCTTGAAAAGATCACTCTGCCTACTGTGTTAAGAATGAATTGTAGGGCAGCACATGTGACAGCAAAGAGACCAGTTATAAGGTTATATGCTGGTAGAAGGCTGTATATACGCCAAAGTCTAGACAGGTTATAGAGCTACAAACTGAAATGGTAGCACTGGGCAGTAGACAGAATTGAGATGTGCATTTAGAAGCACAGCTCATGAATCTCAGCACCGAGGGAAGAATTTACTTAACAAAATGAGGATAATGGTATCTCTCATGGGGTGTTATCATCAGGAGCTGATGCATGTCAAGTATTTGGCATCCTTTTTGACCCACATAAGAGCTTACTAAATGTTATTTACCATTATTGTTATTTTTAGTGTTGTCAAGAATAGGGCATGTACTTTGAGCAAAAAGAGTTTTTCTGTAAAAGTTCAATTATACCTCTAGTGTAACTCAATAGCACATACCGTGTGTTGGTAAAGAGCGGAGAACGAGTCTTAGTTTTTAGTGACCTTTGCTGGATCAGAGAGAGAGAGAGACGGTATATTGTTATTCCTTCTGTACTTCATAACACTGAACTATAAATATATGTATAAGTAGGAACTATGTATAAATAGCAACGTTAAAAAATTGTGTAAAATTTAGCTGTTTTTTTAAACATGTGCAAGCTTAATGAAATGAGACACTGAAAATCTTGTCTGCAGTATGTCTGTAATGCTTTCACTTAGGGACTATTTTCCAAAGAGTTAATTAGTGATAAGTTACTTCAAATTCTATGCAGTTCTTTGACTGTGATCCTAATTACTATTTTTATTTTGGTTCTTTAGACCCAAATAAGCAATTCAATTATAGGGATAATTATGACTACAAACGTTGTTTGTGAAACAAAGGCCTCCTATAACCATCAGAGATAATGAATGCTCTTTATGTGTAAAAATAACGTATAAATATTTAACAGTATAGAATGATGAGTGACCAATTATGACTTGTACTCAATGAAACAGGTAGACTCTATGTTTTAAGTAAACTTTATGCTTTAAATAAACTTTTCTAAATTACTAAGTACTAAATTTCTAAGTAGTTTAAATAGGGAACTGTTTTGTGGATAGCAAAACCTCTGATTTAATAATACATCTTATTAATTCAAGACCAAGTTAAAAAATATAATTTCCTCATTGTTTACTGATTTTGCCTGCTTACCTCTACCCTCTTTTATAAACATGTATGTGTACACACTTTAGATATATTTTATACAAAACTGTGTTTTTGTATAATAAGAAAACAAAAGAAGAAAGGGAAATTCTATAATCCCACTACTTAATGATTTAGTCTTTTTTTTCTGTCTTCAAATATGTGTGTGTGTATATTTCTGCCTGTATTTTGTTTTATATATTTTTAATCTAAAAGACTAATCTAAAAACACTTTTCTATGTTTTTCTGTTAGTATCCTGTGTTTACTTGCATATATGGTTTAAAGTTTTTAAATTTTTTTTTAGCTGCAGTAAAATATACAGATTTAAAAATTTTAAAAAGCAGGGGGGTAGGGCACCTGGGTGACTCAGTGGTTGAGTGGTTTGCCTTTGGCTTAGGTCGTGATCTGTCGTCTTGGGGTGAGTCCTGCATTGGGCTCCCTGCAGGGAGCCTGCTTCTCCCTCTGCCTGTCTCTCTGTGTCTTTCATGAAAAACTAAATCTTAAAAAAAATTAAATTTTTAATTTTGTAAAAATAAAATTTACCCTTTTAGCCATTTTTTAATGTGTAATTCAGTGGCATTAAGTATGTTCACAATGTTCTATAGCATCCTTTTAGTATAGGATGATGTTATATGAAAAACCATTTATTTAACAGAGCCTTTATTGTTGGACATCTGAATTATTTCCAGGGTTTTCTATAATAATGCTTTCTTTTTTTTTATAATCTTTCATAAACATCTTGATGCAGTCTTTGTTCATGTAACGCTGTATTTTTTTTCTAAAATGTGGTACCAGTTTACACTCAAATTATTAGTGTGTGGGCACAATTGCATTTCCCCACACTGTGTCTGGTACCAAGCATTTTTTGTTTTGGTTTTTATATTTTAGATCTGAAAATATTAGTAAAAAGTAAACACACACTTTGCCATTTTGTTTCAAAGTTATAACAAATACCTTTTAAAATCTCAATAAATTTTAAAAAGTATTTAATTTTAACTTGTTTATTAGTAAAGAAAGGAAATTCATTCTCAAATATTATCAATGCATTGATTGGGGAAATGTGGGTTTGCCATGCAGACTTTATTCAAATCCATGGAAGGAAAATCTTGAAATCCTCATGAATAAGGAAAGCATCTATGGCCCAGCGAAGAGTAAGGTGGTGATGATAGGGTGAAGGACACTGAAGTTGGAGAAATAAACAGAATCTAACATCTGTAAAGTTGTGCAAGTATTAAAAAACAAATAACGAGATGGTGATGGTTGTATTGGCATGTATCCTATACTTTTTGGTATTTCAGTAAGTAATACATAATTGACATCTTTTCACCCATAATTTTCAGCTTAATTTGAAGGATCTTTTCTTTTTTTTTTACTGAAGGATATTTTCTATGGAAACCTAGTTCTGATTTTCTGATAATGTATCTATGGAAAGATGTTTTTTACTTCGGAGACTTTTTCTTTCTTTCTTTTTCTTTTTTTTTTTTTGGGGGGGGAGACTTTTTCTTAGAGCCTGTTTTCTTGGATTGAATGAATTTCTGTAGATAGTGTGGAGTTGAAATAAATCTTTTTTTATTAAACTTTTCTCATTGTTCTCATTTAGTTTATATGCATAAAATGGAGGAAGATATGACCATTTTATTCTTTTAGTTTTATTTATGATGCCACTTTCTAAGTATGTAACACAGTAAGTAATAGCATGGAGGTAGTGATACTTAAACAATAAGACCAAATAAAATTTAAAGTAGAAAAGAATCATTAAGAAAGGTATTAGCTTTAAAGGTAAAAATACTAATGCTTTTATAGTCCTCTTTCTTTTTAATCCATTGCAGTATAGCTTGTAATTTCATCACTGTACTGTAATTTAAAATTGTCAGTGGCTTTTTTACCCTTCTAAATCCTCATCATCTGGACTTTACATGATGTTGTTGCCCTTTGACTTCTATAATGTTGTCCTTTCTTGGTAATTTTTACCTTTCTCTGCCTAGTACATACACTGATTCTGATCAGTTCTGGCTCTTTCCCCCCACTTTTTCTGTCTGACACTTTTGATATTTCTTATCAGTTTTCTGGTTCTGTATTTCTGAATGCCTGTATTCCCATTTGTCATATTCCTCAGACTCACTAAATCCAGGCTGGCATTGTTTTACTTTTCGTTTGGCCGTGAATCCCAAGAATAGATATTTTGGCATTATCTTTAGTTCTTCCTTTGCAAAGTTCTTATAACCAAACTATTACTACATATTTCTGGTATCCATTCATCTCTAATTTTCCTGGTATAATGTTAAATGTTGTAATTTGTTTTAGATTTGGTTGTCAGTAGTATTTAAATAACCTTTATTTCTTAAAATATAGAGATGGACTTTGTATACATAATTTTTTCTTGTGAAGCATGAGGGGATGGGAGTCTCATTCATTTTGTATTTCTAGCGAAGTTGCCCAACGTATAAAAGGTGTTGAAGAAATGTATTTTGAATGAACTACCCAAAGACTTAAGGGAGAGCTTTCTTAGTTCTGAGTTCTGTAAGAGGAGAGAATCCATTTGAATGGTAGCCAATTTTTAAACCCTTTTTGCTATAAAAGACAGTATTTCAAGTGTTCATATTTGCTAATATTATTAAAGGAATATTAATGATTCTTTTTACAAAATTGCTTCATTATATATTACCCTTTTTTTTTTAGGGTTTGGAAGGAAGGATGTTGTAGAACACTTACTACAGATGGGTGCTAATGTCCATGCTCGTGATGATGGAGGTCTCATCCCACTTCATAATGCCTGTTCTTTTGGCCATGCTGAGGTTGTGAGTCTGTTACTGTGTCAAGGAGCTGATCCAAATGCCCGGGATAACTGGAACTATACCCCTCTGCATGAAGCTGCTATTAAAGGGAAAATCGATGTATGTATTGGTAAGTATTACTTGATGATACCTAAATTGTAAGATCAACCTGACAGGTATAAAATTTTAAATAAAGGTTTACCATTTTTTCTTTTATTTTTTCATTGTGTTGAGAATAGTATTCTCTCAGAATAAGTAGAGGCTTTTTATGACTTCTTATTCTTGGAAGCAATTTTTTTCCCATCAAAGGAAAGTAGGGAGATGGCAATATAAAGTTGGTTAAGAATGGGATTCATGACATTAACTCTCCAAATACGAGTCAAATGCTAACTGATCTGGAACTAAATTTTGATGGATTACTATTATAAATTTAGTTAATTTACAGTCTCTCTAAAAGATTACAAATTTTCCATCCTAGCATCAAATGAAAGCCATTATAAAATACAAGTTCTTACTGAATTGGATGACGTAATCAGATGCTTTAGGTTGACAAGGAAAGTCATCTAGCACTAAGGCAAAATCTTTTTCTTTATGTTGCTAAAAGTGAACATCAGTATTATAGAGTGGTTCAAATACAGTAATGAAAGCTTAATATGTCCAGCATGTGCCATAGTCTAGTAAAAAAAGCAATTTCAAGTAAAATTGCAGTTTTCAACCATTTTAAATTTCGAGATGATATGAAAGTGTATTTAATCAAGAGTTCTTTCTCTTTTATGTTTATCTAAATGTGTGTGTGTGTGGTGTGTGTGTGTGTGTATTAGAGTTTGCTTTATTGTATACCTTTCATTCTGAAGTCTAAAACAAGCTTTCAGAAGACAAGCTTAGTTTCTTTTGGGTGTATCTATTTCTTCACCCTCAAGATGGTGGATGTTTGTTTAGTCTGTGGCAGGTTGATTTGCATAATTGTTATCTTCTGGGTTGACATTCATTTCAAGTTTAATCTTTCATGTTTATCTTTATCATAAAACTCAAATACATTTGTCATTTTTAAAGATATAGTGGTGGTGTGGTTATTAAGATGTTTTCCCTCTTCAAAGTCATCTATTCCAGCCTCCAGTATATTTTTCATTTTCCCTCAAATTATTGCAATGCCTGACATAACAACTTCTTTTTTTTTTTTCCTAAGATTTTATTTATTTATTCATGAGAAACAGAGAGAGAGGGGCAGAGACACAGGCAGAGGGAGAAGCAGGCTCCATGCAGGGAGCCCGATGTCGGACTCGATCCTGGATCTCCAGGATCACGCCCTGGGCTGCAGGCCACGCTAAACTGCTGTGCCATCAGGGCTGCCCACATAACAACTTCTTTATCACATTCTCTGTCATTATCTTTTGTAACTTCCACATCCTTTGACATGAGCTTTTGTATACCCTGTCCTTTTTGACCTTTGAGATCTTCCATTTTCAGTTGATTCTCTTATTTCCTTCTAAGTCCTTCACTAAAACACCACATCCTGGACTAAGTCATTACATAAAACTACCCTGAGAAACTTGAACTTATAAATATCCTCTCTCATCACAAAACCTCTTAAGTTACTTGTGGTAAGTTACCATGTGATTATTATTATTGAACTTGATATATATCCTAACTTAATCCAGACTTTCAACTTCCCTATCTTCATTCCTTCTTCCTTTACCTTGTCATATACATTGGATTCTTTTGTTATTAGTCATAGAATTTTATATAATTTTTACCTTCTTAAATTATTATTCTTTTTAAGCTTCAGTTTTTTATTTTCTACCTGTACTTCTCTGAATTTTCATTCGATCAGTGCTTTTAATATCTTATCAAAATTAGTGTACTTTCCTCCTACTCTTAATCCCCCTCCCAAACGTATGTAATAAAAATGCTCCTTTTATTTAGGTTCTGTTGAAATAAAAGACTAGATGTAGGACATGAATTTTTAAAGAATGGATCCCCATAGTCCCCCAGCCCCACGATCCTCAGTGTACTTTGGCACATACTGCTTTCCTTCTGTTTAAGTTCTTGTGTCTTATAAAAGTTGAGGAAGGGAAAAGGCACCTTCAAACTATAATCAAAATATAATTGAGGATACAGCTGCTATTAAAATAGTTATTATGGGAAACAAGATTGGTTTATAGACCCTTTTGTACATTTAATTAGCTTTCAGAAACCCATTAGGAAACCAAATATGTCAAAGCTTTTGGCAGTTTATATATTGTAATTTCTGAATTTGAGTATAGTTAAAGAATTCTGAAATGCATACTATTGGGCAAATTTCTACTTTGGGACAACTGGTTGAAAGCTTGAATCTGAAGGTTTTGAGAGATTAATGTGCAGAATTAATTTTTGAAAGGTTTTTACCTAGATGATGGAATGCTGGCCTGATTATTTTCAGATTCATCGTATCTCTCTATGTAAGGTAGAATAGTGAACTTTTGATATTTATAAAGATAGAGCCAAGGTACATTATCACTGGCTTAAGAAAAGCAACAGGATGGTTGCTTCAAAGCACTTGTTCTGGGCTTATATCCTGACCTGACCAGTTACCCACTATATGTGAGACTCAGAGCCACTTAAATACCCTGTTTCGTTATATGTGAAATGAGAATACTTGGGTTCTTGGAAGGATTAGCTGATGACACATGTAAAGTACTTAGAGTACTTGATATAGTGAACAGTAAATAAATATTGATTGCTATTTTTTAGTTGAAATGTAATTGACATATGTTATATTAGTTTCAGGTGCACAACATAGTGATTAGACAAGTTTATACTTTATGCCGTGCTAATCACAAGTATAGATACCATCTGTTAACCATACAATACCATTGGCTATATTCCCTGTGCTGTACCTTTTATCTCCATGTCTTATTCATTCCATAACTGGAAGCCTCTATCTCCCACTACCTTCACCCAGTTTTCTTATCTCCCCAACCCCTTCCTCTTTGGCAACCATCAGTTTGTTCTCTGTATTTATGGATCTGTTTCTGCTTTTTATTTGTTTGCTTTGTTTTTTAGATTGCACATATAAGTGAAATCATACGATATTCATCTTTCTGTGTCTGATTATTTCCCTTAGCATGATACCCTTTAGGTCCATCCATATTGTTGTCAATGGCAAGATCTCATCCTTATTTATGGCTGAGTGATAGTCCGTTGTATATATATATACACCACATGTTCTTTATCTATTTATCTGTCAGTGAACACTTGGGTTGCTTTCATATGCTGGCTATTATAAATAATGCTGCAATAAACATAGGGTGCATATATCTTTTTGAAGTAGTGTTTTTGTTTCCTTTGGGTAAATACCCAGTAGTAGAATTACAGGATTATGTGGTGTTTCTATTTTTAATTTTTTAAAAAGATGTATTTATTTATTTGAGAGAGTGAGCAGGAGCAGTGGGAGGGGCAGAGGGAGAGAGAGAAAAAAAAGGGAAAGAGAGAGAGAGAAACAGACTCTGCTGAGCACAGAGCCCAGAGCCCAATGCAAGACTCTGTCTCATACTCTGAGACCATGACCTAAGTCAAAATCAAAAGCTGGATGTTCAACTGACTGAGCCATCCAGGCACCTCTCAAAATTTTGAGGAACTTCCATACTGATTTCCAGTACTGGTACTGATTTCTGAGTAGCTGTACCAATTTACATTCCTACCAACAGGGCCTAAGGGTTCCTTTTTCTTCACAAACTCACCAACACTTATATTTTCTGCCTTTCTGATTCTGAAAGGTGTAATAGCTATTATTAATTGTTAAGATCTCAACCTGAATTCTGACTGCTATGTGATATGGACTTACTGGTTTCTTCTGTTTGCCCTTTATTGACTTTTTTTTTTTAAAAGACCATCTAAAATTCTATCCAAACAAAACAAATAAATAAAAACAAACAGACTCATAAATCCAAAAAATAACTAGTGGTTACCAGAAGGGAAGTCAGTCGGTGTATGGGCAGAATTAGGTAAAGAGGATTAAGAGGCATAGATTTCCAGGTAAAAAAACAAAAATTTGGGGTACCCTGGTGGCTCAGTGGTTGAGTGTCTGCCTTTATCTCAGGTCATAATCCCAGGGTCCTGGGATCGAGTTCCACATCAGACTCCCCATAGGGAACCCATTTTTCCCTCTTCCTGTGTCTCTGTCTCTCTCTCTGTGTCTCTCATGAAGAAACCAAAAAGTCTATCCTTTGTGTTTTTTAGATGCTCTTTAACTACCATTAAAAAGAACAAAATACAGCCTGAGATTATTTTTAAAAATCAACTTTAAATGGTTGGATAATTAAACCAACTACTTAAGACAGAGATCATAGTTCATTATATTAATGTTGCTGTTATGATTTTTATATTATATTTAACAAATAAAATTTACTTTAGAAATTAACATTTTTTCTACCTTTAGAACTTTTTCATTTCTCCCTGCTTTTTTCTACTCCCAGATATAAAGTCACCAAAAATTACAATAAATGACATCTTTTCTGAATATGTCATGTGATTTTTTTTTAAGACTATCCAAGTGCTAGTGCTTTGAAATTTCATTTTAAAAGCAAGTTATAGACCCATCTTTCACAAAGTTAATTGACATAAAGTCTGGGAGTCCTGAGGACATTTGTCTTTTTTTTTTTTTTAATTTTGGCTAACTAGTATCCAACAGCTTTTCTGATTTTGGAGATTTAAAACTATGAGTGAGCATTATGGGGAGGAATACAGAAGGTTATAGAGTCCGACCTTTCTTCTTTCTACCCTGGCAGACAGGGATGGCCTTATTTTGGCCATTTAGACACACCCTTTTATAGAATACAATTTTGAGTATAAAGACTTAGCAATATTAAAAAATCATTTATATCAGCAGTTTTTTTCCTGCAGTGTTGGTAGTGGCCCTGCCCCATTAAGGTCAAATTGGTTTCTATCTTTTCCCAATGAATATAACTGAGACAGATCTTGAGAAGGTAGCTAGGTGGAAGTTCCAGTATAGGGCCTCTAAGATAATAAGGAAATCTCTTTAATCTTTATATAATTCCATGCAGCTACATTATTTACATTTATACTGCACTCCCATCTCTTCTTATACTCTGTGATTCTCAAGGGAGAAGGGGACAGAGAGCATGTTCCCTT